AGATATTGTTCAAATCTCTCACCTGAAGACTAGTAAGACTATTATCACAGTCGGTAGTATCAATATCGTTCAGATTGATACCGGATCTCTCCATCTCCGCGTAAGTCCCAAACGGCAGTTTACCCAGGCACTCCAGCTTCATGATGTGCATCTTGCTGCGTAGATGCTTGGCCAAGTGGCCGTGTATCCTGAAGGCTATCTTGCAATCCGTACACTTGAACGGCCTGGGATTGCTTGTTGTCGCGGCTCCGAACGTGGAAGTCATGCTGACCTGAAAATTTAATTTATCCAAAAATTAAAATTGCGCTTCCCAATTAAAATTCCTAATGCATTTTCATTTCAATTGTTTCTAATCTGTTATAATATTCCTTTGAGTTTGAATTAATTGATGTTAAACTATTTGAGTTACTAGATAAAGGAAGTAAAAGAAAGCTAACTCGAAACTTGAATAGAATTCTAATCACGTCGTTTCCTCTTGTTAAAGTCGTACCGCTTCTAGCGCCGTTATTTATACGTGTTCATCGTACAAATTATATGTAATTGTATGCAACTAATAGTATGTTTTCTTATCAAATTCAAACTACTGTTAATCCAATTAAAATAATAATTGGAATAATTAGAAGAAAATTGATTTTTTATCTAGTATAAAAGAAGTGTTTACCTTGTTGTGATGAGAGACAGATCGTTCGTGCTTGGTCAAGTGACCCTTGGTCCGGAACGAGACCGCGCAACTCTCGCACCGGTACGGCCTCTCGAAGTAATGAATGTTGATATGCAAACGTAACTGACTAGGTTTGCTGAACACCTTGTTACAAATACCGCACACGGCTCTACCATCGTCCGTCACACTGTAACTATATACAGTAGATTCAGTCCTTTCGGTGATAATTAAACAGTAATTTAAATAACTCAAGTAGATTAAAAATATATTCTCAAACGGATGAAGTATTCTGGAATGATCAATCTATGTATTATTGAAATTATCGCTAACCTGACGTAATTAGGCGCGGGTCCATTCGATGGCTGCAAGAATTCCGCCTGAGGTTTCGCGGCCCCGGTGGGCGCGGTGGGCGAGGGTGACCTGAATCCCGGAACACCGACTACCGCGTCCCTCATCCTCGCCACCGCGTGCTTTATGCTCTCGGCTATATCGCGGCTCTGTTTCGTGATCTCGGGATGTTTCATCTCCGGGACACGATCCACTATGTTCTGTTGCCTAGAAACCTCGTGGATCTTGGCCGGCTCGTGAATACTTAAGGACATCATCTCGTAATTAACTCTAGCTTCTTGTTGCTGCTGCCTATAGTCCGGCATCAAGATCGCTTCCCTATTCGGAGATCTGACGTGGAGATCTTTAGGAGATCTACTGCGATGCGTACTGTCGATCACTTTTAATTTAGGATCGCAACTAGTCGATGGAACGTTTTCCTGTTCTACGTTTCTCGGTTTCGGAGACGGTTCTCGCGAGTAGATTTCTCTTTCCTTTTGCTCCTCGGTTTTAGTATTTCCTACACGATACTGCTGTTTCATTTTACTGTCCATCACGTGTCTCTCGGTTAGATAAGCTTGTAACATCTGACCCTCTGCTTCCGGTTTCCACTCCCTCCCTTGGGAAGAGTTGCTTACCGTTGTTGAAACGGTGGAGGACGTGGAAGAGGTCGGGAAAGTCAGAGTGTAAGGATACGTAGTGGGCCTTCCAGATGGTAAGAGTCCAGGGAATCTGTTGTTATTTCTCTGAGAGAGGCTCAGCAAGCTCTGAGCGGCCTCCTGTTCCTCGCTTCCGGATTCCTCGCTCTCATCTTCCCCCTCGGTGTCCTCTTCTTCCTCTGATGACTCTTCAGGATTGCCTCCACCTAGGGATAGCCGAGCGAGGGCCTCCTTGTCGATGTTCTCGTCGCAAACAGTCGTAGGAACGGGAACGATGCCCAGCTCGACACATTTCTTGTCGTGGGCTTTCGATTTCATGTGCTTCGTAAGATTTCCCTTGGTTTTGAAGCTGTAATAAATCATTTTCCAGAAATGTTTATTTACAAAAAGGAACAATAAACATTGACATAAAAATAACAGAAAACTGATTGAAATTGTTGGAATTTTTACCTGAACGCACAGTGTTTACACGTATAGGGCCTTACGTCCGTGTGTGTTCTGATATGTTTCTTCAACATCGACGGCTTTTTACAGCGAATGCCGCATTCCTCGCAAACGTATCTACCCCGACCTTATCGTAATATACAAATACATTGTTAACCCCAATTACGAGATATATTTCCTTCATTTCGTACGTATAAAAATTCAATTTATTCACCTCTTCCTCTGACATAAGTATAATCTTCGTTGCTCTCGAATCCTCCGTCAAATATCTTAACTCTCTTCGCTTTCTCTTGCATATCACTGTCCACACCGCTGTCAGAACTTGTAGGAGTAGTCGGTCTTTGAGAAGAATGGGTCAGAATATCTTCCTGCTTCTTCCAGGCGATGGTGTAGTTAGCCGGTCTGTGCCGCGAGTCGTAACGCGCCATGTCCACGTCCGGTGGCGATTCTTTGCAAATCTTCCAATTCGAGTACATAGATAAACCGTGTTGCTGCGTCACGTACATAGGCTGAGGTCTGTTCAGAGTGCAATAAAAAACTCTGGTAGAACATTTCAGACCTAGATATGTATAAGCGTGTCCATTTAAATAGAGCTGTCCGTAGGATTTCTTGGGCCTGGGTGTGTCAGGACTGATCAGGGGAAGCGTGTTGGCCGTGGGAGTGATACCATGATGCTTCTTAGGCGTAAACGTGCCCGGCTTTAAAGGCAGCGAGGTTGGCCTCAAGAACTTATTACAATTAGTCTCTTCTTTACTAGCTTCGCTGCTTTTAGGGCTTGTCTCGGGCCTGTCAACTTTCACAACTACATCTACTTTGTTTGGCACCTCTACTTTTGAACTTTCGGCGTTTACGTGTGCTACAGAAGTCGGGACTTCCGGTTTCTTTACCCCGTTGAACGTACCGTAATATTCCGGTGTTAATTTATTTCTGTTCTCATTAAGATTCACTGTTTTAAGCCGTCCATTTTCTATAGGGGGTGGTGAGTCGTATTTAGCGTGATCACTGTGTCCCATAGGTACTACCGCTGTCATTTCCTTCTGATTGAACACTTCGTTCATGACCCACAATCTCTTCCTGTTGTCGAAATTCTCTTTAGGTGAATATTTAAGCTTACTATTTGAACTCGACGACACTGTTGGCGATGCGTCGACTCCGTTAGAATAATTGAAAACTTTTCCGACTTTAGGACTCCGATCGTAAGGAAAATCCCGCCTCTCTGCATTTTTATACTTATTAACGTTCACACTGTTCTTGATATGCCGGTCCAGATCCACTTTAACCTCTCCCGTGGGCCTCCTGTTATACTTCTCTTCACTCTTAACGACCGAGGTACTCAACTTGGAGACCTCGGGTGTACGAAATCCAAGTTTCGAATCCTTCGCTGGGCTGGCCAAGTCCAGTGGCTGATCCATGATGGCAGCTCCACCGGATACTAGTCCCGACATTCCGGATGCACTCTTAACCGGACTGGCCAGGTCCAGAGGCTGTTGGACCATGTGTAATCCAGGAAAACCCGGGATCACTTTATATCCGGTTTCACCGGTGACTCTCGGAGATATGTCTATGGAAGGGGTCAGAGAATGCGGTCCCGGCATTCCTGGGACGTATGGGATGACCTTGCCGCCGTGGAGGATACTCGTGATACCCGGCTGCTGGGGCAGAGTCAACGGATTGTAGGCAGTGATGCTCGTCAGCGGGTTCAGTGGGTCCAGATAGCTGTAACAGGACATCCGGGGCGCTATGCTCGGGGTTGATATGTTCGGTATGATCGGAGCCAGCATCTTCGGGGTGTTGGCCAACGGTATAGTGCCGGGAGTGCTCGCGGGAGTCCCTGGAGGCTTATGGACCATCGTCCCACCCGAATGCAGGCCGGATCGGACTACTATGGAGGCCGTCTCCGAAGTCACGCATTTACTGTTCACGATCTGCTCGGGAGAATTACTCTGACGAGGTTCTATCCTCATGGTCTTCGTTTCACCGGTATTGTCAAGTATTCTAACTTCCCCGCCGAACATTTGCAAAGCGTTCGGCCGCGGATACTTGCTCAGCTCTTCCAACGATCGCAGCGTAGTAGGAACGGAGTCGGGTCTCTGCTTCTTAACCGGCGGGGCATAGGCGTCGACTAATCTGGTGTTACCCAGAAGAGGACCGGGCGAGGGCAGAGGTTGGAGCGTATTATAATAATCGGAAGACTCGGACTCTCTCTTATCAGTTTCCAAGTGATAATCCTTCCTGCCAACGCCTCCTTCGCAGTAGTACCTGCGGTGGACTTCGAGATTATCGATGCTCGAGTAGGGAATATTACAGGAAGGGCAGGGATAGCTCTCGCTCTCGGTTGGTTCTTGATTTGAACTTTGCGTCTTTAACAATAGATCCTTGATTATAGAACCTTCCGAGCTGTTCCGTTCCGTTTTATTTTCTTGAGCGAAGCTCGCGCTGTAGCATCGTTTTCTCGAGCCCTCTTCCGCGGATGAGAGGTTCAAAGGTTGGTCCGCTTGTTTTTGTTCTATTAAACTCTGTTGCCTCTGTATCAGCTTGTGCAATCGCGGATCCACGGTATCTACGATAGCCTGGTTATCGGTTATAATCTTGTCTATGTGCTCCTGAACCTGTTCCGGGTTCGGTTTCGAGTTGGCAGTCGTCGAGGAGGGGGAAGAACTAACTGTGGAAGACGCTGAAGACAGGGAAGACGTTTCCACGTCGTTGTTCACACACTGGAGCGCCGTGTGGAACTTCGGCTTGTAGATTTTCCCGGTTTTCACCGTTTTTACTACGGACACGGACGTTGTGGGTGTAGAAGAGGGTGGAGGGGGCGGGGTACCGGTCCCGTTGCTCGCACTGTCTGACAGACTTATATCTGAGTCCTCCGACACCTGAGAAAATCGTTTCGCCTCTTTGGATATACTTTGGAAATCATTATGCAAAGTCTTATGCTAAATGTCTCGATTAAAATTAACGATAATAAGAATCTTGTGAGAAATGAAATTTGATAAGTAAACAGCGACTTCCAGCGAAGTTATGGTTATTTAAAATTAACACACAGAGCTGATGTAACTTCATTAATAATGAAAACATACAATTGTTCGTCATGTTATGATTCATATCTTAATCAGAATTTAATATCTCATCGGAAAAGAAGCATGTTTTGTAATGGAGATGATGAAACTTATGCAGAATTACATATAATCTCTAAAAGGTCTTTAAAAGTAGACCACGTACTGAGAAACTGGTACCGTATGCAATTCTACAGCTAATAGAATATGAAGAACGATCACACACCTTGCTGGCATCGCCACCCTCCATCTTAAGAGCGTGAGCCCTCGACCTGCAGTGCTTGTAAAGATTCGACTTGGTCTTGAACGCGAACCCACACGGCACGCAAGGATAGGGCCTCTCGTTCGTGTGCGCTCTGATGTGTTTTTGGAGAACACTGGGCTTGGCACACGACAACCTACAGTAGGGACACACGTAGCTCTTCCTGTACTCCCCTGTCGCCTCGCCGTCTCCCGATTCCGGAGGAACTTCAATAGACTTGATAGGATCCTTTCTCTTGGATGGGTCAGGGGATGAATTGTTGGGAGCCACGGTTTCCTCTTTCTTCGGCTCCACCTTAGGTGGACTAGCCTCGGTCGTCGCCATTTTCTTGAATTTCTTGTGCAGGTACTTCGGCTCGCCATCGTTATTATTGTTATTATTGTTATTGTTATTGTTGTTATTATTGTTGTTGTTGTTGTTGGTCAACTGTGGGTCTGTCATTGCCACAGTGTGAGTCTCTGAAAAATAGAATAATATCTCTGGTTGGAGAAAGTGATTTGACGTGAAACAAATAGATAAATGTGTGAGTAAAAGTATAAAAGCTGTGAATAAATGAATGAATAAATGTATGAAACAGTGAATAAATGGATGAACAGATAAAAATGAAATAAATAAATGAATATAGAAATGAATGAACGGTGGAATGAATAAATGCATGAAATAAATAAACGTGAATGAATGAATGAACAGGGTGAAGGATGGAATAAAGGAAACGTATTTGTATTCAACTTATTTTTGTCAGTTACTGCTAATTCCAGGATTCCACTACTGCGAATTCCATGGAAGAATTGAAATCGTGAAAAATAGAGTACTTATGCAAAAAATGAACGTGGAGAATCGTTCAGGAGTGGAAGTTCAGAGAAATTTAATTTAAAGAATGTTGAATATAAAAGTAGAAGAGGATAATAAATATGAAAACCCTACAGGGAACAGCAAGACGCAATAGAAAATAAGGAAAATATGGCACGTCGAACGAGGAGATCGAGCACGCCACGTGTACTACAGTAAACTGGCAAAGCGGAGAAAGGAATATTGTTAATTGTATGATTCACAAACAGATCCACAACTGTTTCCCGATACGCGAAACGACCAGATTGTTCCGGGAATCTCTCCTACCGCGAAAATATCGCAATGAATCACGTGCTGAATAGAGCGATTGGAAGGAAACTTCTGGGAAACCCGTAAGTAAATATTTTTTTTACTCATCAAGGTCCAATCAATATCGTACATTCCGTTCGCAATTTTTTCCAATCAGGTTACGGAGTTCAATTACGTGTATTGCTAACCGTGTGTACAATTATTATTATCTGTCTTATATGATCGTGCAAATGCGTAGAAAATTTAAAAAGACTGTGTCTCCTTTCATTGGATATTTAATAGTTTCATTAACGTCGCATAATTTATAGGTAGAAAAAATATGTAGAGTAATTGCGTTTGGAACGTTCTAACTTAATTAATTCAGAAGAAGCAGCGAGGCATTTTAAGTCGACTCTGAATAATTTCTTAATAGATTCTTGAAGAGACTTAATGGCCGAGCGAGCGGGGACGAGTATAAACGTCTCATTACTTATAAATGGAAATCCAATCGGAGGAAAAGCGTTAAGTTAAACGGCGACCGAGTGATCTGAACTATTGAACCCGGCTCTTTCCGCTTTCGTAAACGTTCTTTTCATTCCCGCATAAATCCACAGGAATCTGACCTTTCGTGGCTTGAATAATTAAAATCGGCGATCGGAAAAATTGCATGTAGGAGCGTGTGATCATCGATCGATTTACGACTAAAAAACTATCAATTTTCAATTGTTCATTATCTAATAATTAACGTCACACCTGCGTCACGTAATCCGGTTTCACAAAGACAAACAGTTCGAGAATAAATATTCAAGAGGAAAAATACTTGTGCGGTGCAAAAGAATTCCGAAATCAAAAAGCAACTTCGACAAGAAGGACGATCAAAGCGAGAGAGCGTCGTGTTTAAAAGAAAAAGACGAAACATCGCGATGCGTCCGCGTTTTTTCTTTGTCATCGTTTCTCTCCTTTTTCTGAAATAGCACTGGCAAACAAAGTGTATATCCGACTCGACGCATTTCCATACAAAGCATAGATTTGCAATACGCGCTGGCGCGCCCTGAGAAATTTCCAGCTTTGAAATCGTGCAAGAAACGCTGTTGTAAATCGAAGAAAAATTTCGTTTCCCAGAATTCTGCACGATTTAAGAAAAAATGTATGCGGAATTCGAAGTTCACCGCTAATACATTCCGAGTTCGATATATGCATAACCATTTAATGTATTCCAGGAAGAAAAACGCATTTAAAAACATGTGATAATCTTAGGACGGAAGTTGAGGATAATATATTTTAAAGATGTTTGTTTTTAAATTTTACTCAAATTAATAATCATCGATTACTTGCCCCATATTAAACAGATAGAGAATTTTTATTTGAAACATCAAAACAATGCCCGGTTGCCGTCATCGTACAGTGAACGTAATTATTATACATACGCAGAATCGAGGGAAACAAGAAATCGAGGGAGAAGTGAATGAAACGACAATGACGCCATTCATTCTTATAAATCCTCCTCCACGCATATGCACGCTATATGCTATCAATGGAGAATTATCTCGCTATAGAGGATGCCTTTAATGCTTTGTGTTTTAATTACCTCGCGTCTCTCCCGCGTTTTCTAGAATTCCGTTTTCGATTGATCGAAATAATACGCCCACGCGCATAACGCAAGGTACGTTTCTAAATAAAGCCTCACCCAGGCCATCGTTATAAATAAATGAGCTATAAAAGGATAAAGCATAGCAAGAGATTATCTTCTTGTTCCATTTATAATTGTTACACTGAGAATTGCAGTGCTAAATAATTCATACTGGCAATTCTTGTAAACTATAAACAAAGTTGTATCTCTTCGAATACAATTAAATTATAACAGACTATAAAATTACTTATTTATGAATAAAACATGTAAGAAAGTTGTAATTCAATTAAAAGAGTGGTACTGAAATTATCTGTTTTTCTGTTTGATCTCATCAATGTCTCAACTATGAGGCCATATGGTACCGAGATAATGCTCGTCGGCACTATTGCTAAATAGTCAGTACAAACAGCGAGGACCGATAAACTGAATATCGTAATGGTTAATACGGAGGAGGCTATCGTCGATTAATTATTGCGTGCGCGCATTAATAGGAGCACTGGTTCATTGTCTAAGTCATTCAACTCGCAATAATAATTATTCCAGCCTAATAATTCCGACGAACCGAGGAGAATCAGAATAATGCGCAAGCCAGAATTAGCATAGCGCTGATAAGAAAAACGTCATCATCGTTGACACACGAAGGCTGTTGCACACGCTGTGCAGAGATAACGCAACGCAACATAGCATGGATCCATGAAATCAAGCATAACTCGTGCGACAAACGGTCAATTACCATGAATAGTCCACTGCGTGCTCGCTATACACGTACGCACTGGTTGCATTCGTCATCCTTTCTTCTATTGTTGATGGACTTCTTTTATGACGGAATTTATACTGATACTATATACATGCTTTTAAAGGATTTGATCTACCCTTGTGTCACGATAGGCATACTTTGCGTAGTATTTGATTTTATTGGAGAAAGATAAACGAAGTGGTATAAGTCATTCATAAAATATACGGGAGTATTTAATCCATGAAAAGAGTCAGTATAAAACTAACTAAGCGTAAACTTCATAAAAGCGTCAGATCCTTCACAGTTGGCATAGCTAAGTAAATACGCTTTTCTTAAGTAGAATAAGTCAATATATAATAGGCAGAAGTAGCTGATTCTACTGTAAGCGTGAGATTCTTGTAACAATCTCTACGATGAACATTCCAATTCCACGACGATATAAGAAAAATCTCGAACGCTTCTCATAGTTTTAATGAAAAATATGGTCCATTGGAGCTCGTTCGGCATGCATTAAATTGTATAGTGCTGCCATCGAGATCAGAAACGGGAGATTCCCGCGACAACGAAGTGAGTCACGCGTGCTCCGTTCGTCGTCTGACGAAACGTCCTTCCCCCTCCTGCCCCGAGCCTCTCTATCGCCATCGCCGCGAAGCGCCTCTCTCCTCTCTATCTCTGAACTGGTCTGACGAAGCGCCAACGCGTTTCCACTCTCCTCTCCTCTCGTATCGGCCACTTAGCCTGGCTCGGTGTCTCCGGTTCCGAGACTCGACTCGATTCGGCTCCGCTCGCGTTCGCCAGGCCACGAGGAAACCCCGACCGACCGCGTTTCCCCGCCGCCACCTCGCCGTGGCTCACGGATAGCTGTGTTCCAACTTTCCTCGCCCCTCGGACCGCCTCGGAATTCCCATCCCTACGAGCACGCGAGCCAGCGAGATGAAGGGAGAGAGGCGAGGAGAACCAGAAGCGAAGCGCGGATCCGTGGCGACGATGGAGCGGTGAACGGGTGATTAGGTCACGCACCCCGTGCGTCTACGTCTACCACTACGGCTGCTACGTGCCCTAGGCCCTAGGCCGTTCACGGCCGTGTGTTCACGGAATCCCCCGTTCTCTTTAACTATCTATCTCGCGCACTATTACCGCCCTTTCAATTTTATTCTTCACGCATTTAACATTATCTTCGCCATTATCGCGCAGACAAAATGAACGCGCGAAGAGAATAGGATTTCCTAATTGTAGATTAATGAATGAAACAGTATAAAATACATATTATGAATTATCTGATTCTGTTATACTTTTATATTTATTTACCGTGAAGTAAATTTAGAATTTAAGATAAACTAGTGAAGCAATACAAATCAATATGAGATGAACAGAAGACAGTGCTTGAGAAAAAGCTTGTGCAAGATGTAATGGAATACATGAATGTACTTAGGTATTCTTCAATCTTAATGAGTATGATTAAATGGGGAGCCAAGTAGAGTAGCTCTAGGGAAGAAGAATGAGGCTCTGAATGAAGGAACCGAATACATAATAGAATATATACATATAGAACAAACAGCGGTGTTCTATTTCCCCCTTGGTTCTTATTTTAGGTTCAACTTTGAAGTGCAGTTACGCATGGGGTTGTTACTCGGTGCGAATCCGATTAAAATAACCGGCGGGTGAACGAGGCAGTTAAACTTATTCGATTTGTCGAAATTTGCCAAGGGAGACCCGCCGTCCGCCGTAAATTCTTCGGGAAGTTGGTCGCGTTCGTTCGTTCAGCGATACCGTAAAGGCGGTTACGGCCTTGTAATAAGCTTAAACGGATCAAACGCGTTCGCTTTTCTCCTAGGGAACTACTTTCGATCTTTTAACTTTGCCGGCTTCCACCGAATCGACACGATTCCACCTCCTTTCTCGTATTTCAATCCGAAAACTAAGTCATGCCGTTCTTATTCTCAGCTTCCAATGAATCTTGATTGAAGACTTGATTCGTCAAAAGCGCCGAACAAAGCTGTTCGCAATTTAACGATTTAAATCAAACGGACAGTTAAGTCACACCGGCGTCACATTCTTGGTATTGCAGGATCAGAATAAAAAAAAAATGTGATTTTATTAGTCTATAAATAATTCATACTCTCTACTGTATTGACTTATTCTACTTCTGAGGTAGAACTGTACTACAATATGCAGCGAAGTGTTTGTTACTTTCTATGGAAAGCGGAATATCCATGGAAATCGGTAATCGTTAGGCGAACTCGTTGAAGATAATTCCTCTAATAGATCCTCCAATTAAAAAGGAGGTACGCGCGGAATTTCGTTCGCGTTCCTACCAGTTTAATGAATGATCCAACGTTACGTTGTAAAATTACGTTCATTAACAATTTTATTGCGAAATAACATCGTTTAGCCGAGTTTAATCGTCTCTCCCTCTTGGGAGACAAAACAGAATTAGGAACATTTCTCCTACATAGTAAATTCTATAAATATCCGCGGAATCTGTTCTTAGAAGATCTGCGTTTCTAGACGCTCGTCCACTGACTTAAGAATTAACCCGGATAGCCTCAATTTTCCTTTTGGTAGCTAGCTACGATCCTCCTGGAAAACGACGTCTTTTATCACGTTTACGCATGAAAGAAACTTATTCGATTCTACTAAAAACTGTAGCAGGACGTTTCGAATACTTCCACCGATTTTATCTACAATAAATATAACATTAATAATGTAACAGTATTTTGTTTCTTAATTTCCAAACGCGAAAGAAGTAACTATCTCTCAAACAGTGAATGGTTTTATCTGTTCTTGTTTAGAAATAGATTTTTAGTACCGAAATTGCTTTGTAAATCTGGGAAGACGGATTGGTTGGCAGCGGGCAAGAAGAAGCGTGGCCAGCTAGGTGTCTTTCCGTCTCGGTAGCATGAAAATAGCCGATCGTACTTGGAATAACGCTCGGCCTACGCGTTAAGCATGCTACGTACTATACAACGTTCGTCCGAGCGATTACACGACACGACTCCTTCGTACATACGTACACGGTTGCATAGATACACACGTACGCACGTGGCTGTAGTAGGGAACCCGAGGGAAGACCGTTGAGGAAAAAAGAGAAAAACGGAACGCGAACAAAACGAGCAACGGAGTGAGACAGAAGAAAGGCCGAGAAGCGGAGACAGGTAGAGGTAGATAAATGCTGTCGGCGTTCGAGAGAAAAGGAGGCGAGACACTGTTGTCACACCGTATCTTCTACGCTACACGGGGTCAGAGACGAGGGAGGGGGGAAGGGGGGGTAGCGAGGATTGCGAGAATCGAGGGAAAGAGAGACAGGAAGGGAGCCGAGATGAAAGAAGAGGGACGGATGAGTCTCGGTGAAAGAGAAGTTCAAGGGAGAGGAACAGAGATGCGAACAGGAGATTCCAAGAGACTCGAGAGGGTACAAGGTAATTTAACAAGAGGAAAGGACAGAAATAGACGGAGACGAGAGAGGAGATTCCGCAGGAGAAAACGTGACAAACTCAGGACTCCGGGAGAAAGAGGTAACGCTGAGTAGAAGTCTCGACGGAGAACAGAGGCGCGAACAGGGATAGGAGATTCCAAGAGGAAACGACCACGAGACAGAGACGGAGACGCGAATAAGAGAGAGATCCGACAGGAGATTCCGAGACAGAGAGGCCACGAAAGAACAGAGACAGAGTGCAGACTCCGCAGGCTCGAAACTCCAGATGGCGAGAGAGAAAGAAGAACGGGAGATTCCGCGGTCGAGAGAGGGAGACGGGTAGAGGATTCGTGGAAAGGAGAGCAAAGCGGAGAGCCGAGAGCTCATGGTTCACCTGTCGTCATGGCAACGCCGCTTCGCCGCTCACTTGTTACTCCATCGGCATAGCTCGGCCCTCGGTCCTCTCGCAGCCTCCGCAGAAGGAATACGATCCGCGATCCATGGTTAACAGATCCAGGAACAACCCTCCCGATTCACCCTTATCACAGAAACACGCGCGGACGACGCCGGGATTCCCGAACGACGATCCTCCTGTTCCGCACTCTATACAACGTATCACTAACACGCGTATCACAGAACGAGAAGAAGAAGAAGAAGAAGAAAATTGGGAAAGGAGACACTCTGCTCCCCGTGGGCACCACTCAAGCCCGAAGTCACTCTTCTATTTTAAGCCTCCGCACTTGCCCTGCGTTGTCCGCGTCTCTTGGCACTTCGCTTCTTTCTTTCTCACGCACACACCGACGGCCACGGGACGGAGATACGAGATACTTGCTATCCTTTTCCGACTCGTTATCCACTTACCAGCGCGTCAATCTGTTTGCTATGCAAATCCCGTCCGACCGGTGCTGACGTAGACGACGGGCAACACCGACGCAGGAGCGGGTCCGTCGACGATATCTCCTACTAACACAGTTGTAAAGCGAGCAGTTAGTCATTGCCCGCCAACGGCACACACGCACCAAATGTATAATTGGCTACCGCACGGGTTCTCCTCTCCTTTCAGTCCGACCACGATTCTCTCTCTGCGTTTGCCACGGCACCAACACTTACAGTCGTGGACAGATACCGCTACCACCACCACGGTACCCCCGGGTAATATCACCAACACGCGTCGGCGACACGGTGTCGCTCGGCGAACGAACAACTCCGACTCCGACCAATTCTGACTCCGCTCCGACTTATCCGCTTCGACTCCGACTCTCGTCTGACGTCATTGGCGCCTAACCACGACGTATTTCGCTTGTTCCATCGGAGCCTCCTCGTGCGCCTCGTGCATCCGCTCGCGAATCTTCAACAAGTGTATCCTTTCGACTTGTTGCAAGGAGAGACAGCTGCCGTTACCAACTTCCGACCATCCCATTCATCCCGTTCGCGATCGCTAATTGAATCCTGCAACACTTTCCGTCAACACTTTGAATCAGCACCACTACCACCACCACCGCAGCCGTCGACGCTACTAGTTTATCACAGAGTCTCGCAGCGTTAAACCGTCTCTCTGCCGGGGTCGGATCTTCAACAAGTGATCGGAGCGCGACGTTGGATCCAGGCTCCAGGGTCGCGTACACTGTTCTATAGGTGGCACACGCGCGCGCTACACCTCCTCACGGTGTTGTTATTGTTGCGTAACTGGCGGCCCGCTAAGCCAGTAAGCAGCACGGCCAGCCGAGAGTGTGCGTCTGGTATGGTAGGTAGGCAGCCGTGAGAGTTTCCGACTGGGATAGAGAGAGAGAGACGTGGGTGAGCCAGCGGAGTGTGGGCGAGACCAAGAGAGAGAGGAGCGAGCAGTGCGCCGTCTGGCGTGGCTGACGACAGTCTACTGCCTTCCGAGAAACACGAGGCGATTCCGTGTATCGAACGCGCACTCCCCGAGGGATCGACGGACAGAGTGGGGAGATGGATACGTCCGTCCGGGACGCGCGGGGTCCGTTTCGAGACGAGCCTAAGGCCTGGGTCACACCGGCGTCGTCCCCATTATCATCGAACCTTCGATTTTATCCCTTCTCAATACTCAAATTGCACAAGAAAGTCATCTGCGCCAGGAACAGTTTGCATAATTTACTCATCTTGCATCGTAAGTTTCACTCCTTTACCAAAATCATTCATCCGGGACATGAATTTCTCTGACTCATTAAAAAAATGCATCGGTCAGTCACAGTCTGAGGATGAAAATAACAACATCGAGGGGGGACTCATCGAGTTAATCGTCGACACTTCATAATCATAATATCGCTCGGATAATGGATGAATAACTCTTAATCAGTAGAATCTACTACTGTGCAAGTTAACGGCTTTGAACTGTTATCTGGCAGAGATACGTTCATAGAACCTTCTTCTCACGCGTCTACCAGTCCCGGAAGGACGGCCTTCAGGGAATTGACCTCCGCGAAGCGACCGCTTCTCGGGTGAGCCGATCCGAACCGAAGGAAATATGTACACGCTATTACAATAAAGAAAGTGACAGAGCGTACGAAACTGATCGAAACCGGCAATCGTCCAGCAGAATAAAGAGTACAGTTATTTGAAATCGTTGCAAGCCGCCGTGACGCCTTGGAAACAAAACGCCAGACACACACATGTATAACGTATTTTGAAATACATCTACCGATCTGTAGATATTGCGTTGGTTTTTAAGGCCTTGAGAGATTAAACGAAATTGCTAAAAGATCATTTGTACGTATCCGAGTTTACAAGCAGATACCTGAAGGAATTCCCTGAAGGAGGGACGAGTCCTGAAAGAGGGGCACCGGCAGGTGTACTCGAGAATCCGTTCCACCTGCGGTTTCCACGGTCCGAGATCCCTCTCTTATTCTAGCACGCCTCCGGTCCGTTTCGTTTAGAACCCAGGCGATACAAGGAGCTAAATCAGTGCCAATGGTAATCGACTGCGTTTCGTGACTGACTCACGTCATTCGATCGGGTAGGAGCATAACAGAAAGCTTCGGGATCAAAAGTGACTCATAATAAAATCCACAGTTCTCCGATCGGGCGAGATGCAGAGTATTGGATAATACAGTAGCTACTTCGGGCGGAATTATTCCAGGGCAACGGGGTAAAATATTCAAACAGCATCCTACGATTCCTATTTTTGTTCGACGGCGTTCCACTTCTTTCGCTAACAGGATAATTAGACGCGGAAGTGACAGGACCGACGAATGAAAATCGGGACTATGACAGATCCTTGGAAACAAAAATTGTTATTCGAGATTCGATCTTCCTCTTCGGTTAATCTAACCGATAAAATAAGCCGTTGAACCAGAACGTCTTATAATTATACGAATCTGACATTAACAAGCATTTATCAAGTGTGCATAAAATTAGGAAACCCTCGTTTTAAGGTTCATCTATATTTAAACAAATTTCTTTAAAAGAGTCTGTTCAAAAATATAAATAAATCCTCTCTGAGACACTCGCATTAAATGTTCCAGATAAGTATAGAAAGATCTAAAATACTAGATATTAATGAATGTAATTCGGTACGATTTTTCATACTGAATTATACTAGTGAATTCATGCGGATCGAATAGTGAACGCCAAATTTGAATGGTGTCACTGCGTGTCAAAGTTTAAAAATAAATCCCTCTGGATATTAATATTCGAAATTGGCTATCGTTGAACTCGTATCTGACAGATTAAACGATTTAATCCCGTGGCTATCGATACGGAATACGGATATACGCGTACATGCACAGAGGCGGCCGAGGGATTCCGAGAAAAACAGAGAGAGCCGGTTCGAGCAAAAAAACAGTGGCCGGAGCGCCGTTTCCTCGGCCGATTTGCGTCATTATATGTATGTAGCTCGGTCGCTGTACATAGAATGACGACTACCGGGGCAAGAGTTGCGTATAAATGCAGATACCGAGGCACTTGAGTAATTACAATTACAGGGAAAGAGACCCGATAACGCCTCTGAGATAACCGCGCAGATAACTCCGGAATTGCCAAATAAAGTACGCTTATCGATACCGATCGTTGCTCACTACACTGAAATTCAGCAAGAAAAATGAATTAACAGTCTGCAGTGAAACCTAGTTGATTCAATTTGTTTGATCGGGATTCACTGAATAAACAAAAGGTAGTCAAAATTTTTTATTTGTGAAATGGATAAGTGAATAAGAAAAGAGATTATTATTAAATCATTTGAAACGTGAAATTGAAGCTTGGAATATTTTCCAGCATCAAACCATTCATGTCGATCATGAAAGAAAAACCGAGATTGAAAAGGGAATTAAATCGCCGTTCAAATTTTAACTTCGGGTGCTTGAAAGTTGAAAGAGAGAGGGTCAAGTAAATTCCCGATTTCAGCTTGAACCCACGAAATCCTTGAGAGACCTTACACCGATACGATCGATAACATCAAGATCCTCCTTTTTCCCTTGCAATTTACACTCTTTTTGTCTCGAGAACTCCGGGACGATAGGACCAAATCCGAGAACAAAGAAACCTGCGAATACTTCTGTTGGCAAGGACTTCAAACACTCAGCACCTTAGCAAATTGATAAACTTCTAAATTGAACGATTTTTATTTATCTATTCTATTGTACGTGCCGCAACGTAGATTACAAATAAAAAATAAAGCGATTACTTATCTAGATTGATTGCGTGTGCAATTACTCTCTCTCTCTCTCTCCTCTTCGTTATCGTTTTGTTTGCAGGTGATTTTGACAAATTGCGATGAGTCATTCGTCAGTGAATATTATTTGCGACTTAATAATATCTTGTCACCAAGTTCAACGATAAAAGCTCGCTCGAACTAATCAATGATCACGCTTCTGATGCAACAGAATTATGAATATTATGAAATAGTTTCCACAAAAGATTCAAGCTGAATGAATTTGATAACACTTAAAAACGTTTGATAATTAATTAATGAAAGTTGTAGAAATCCGGAAATTGTTTTATTGGTGTTTCGTTATAAGTTCACGGTCCCTTTAAACTTAAACTCCAGCAGGGACCAGGAACTCGAACAGGTCGAGGAATCGTAAATTACACGATCGGAGAAGAAAAGACCCTTTTTTCCTTTTTTCTCTACCTGCTCTCGACACGCAAAGCACCGGTTCGCTTCACAGATGCCAGGAGCTCCCCTCTGATCGGAACGAAGAGGTACCGGAAAAATGTTCAGATTTTCCCGGGAACTACCTGCCACCTCAGACTCGTCAGAGACGGCCAGTCCCTTTGTTGACTGTCTCTCAAAGACGCGAGGCCTTGCATGATCTTATCTTTATTGAAGACAGTAGTGAAGTATTCTTTTGTTTCTCTTTACCTGGGACGAGTTTTATGTACTCGGAATGTTGACATTTGTCAAATTAAAAGAGGTTCGACTTAATTACTGCAACTTGTTGCTTCCTTTAACTATTAACAATTATTATCTAAAAACATAGAAGTTGATATAGTTAACGATTTTACTGTGTATTCGACTGAGAATCTTATAAATAAACAAGAAGAAATTCAATCTTTTTGCATGTTAATAATTTTCTAGTTTAAAATTATAGCGAGTATGAAATTGCCAACGGTTGGCAGTAATCAACGAGATTAGACGGTAGACAAGCAATCTGTTGGATGTTCCTGAATAATTAATAGCTCGAAAGAAAGAAACAGTGTCGTATTGGGATTCAACAGGTGGATATAGCGTGAGGCGTGCGACCTAGCCACTGTCATACCGTCTTATTACCGTTTCAGTCTAACAGCTCTGATATGCAGTACTACATACGTACTACGATCGACGCAACGCGTGCGACAGCCTAACTGACCTAACTCTCCACGGTTACAACCTGTTGCGACTAATGCGATACTAAAGTCGATTTTGACCGTGTCTCAAGAATCAAATAGCTATTTTATTCAACCCTCTGACGGATTATCATGAATGAAGAAGCAACGTTTTATTAAAGAGTTCGTAGTACGTCGCGTTGAATTATAATATCTGATACGTGGGGAAGATATATTTTTACACAGAAGCAAAGAAAGAGGTACGAACCTTGGCGACGGAAGGGAGGAAAAAGCGGAAAGAAATGGAACCTCGTCGGAGGGAATAAAAGAAGCTGGTTCCAGGTAAAGGACGGGGAAGAAAGGAAAAGAAGTTCTCGGAGAGGACACGCTGTTCGTGGAAGTTTGGCCCTCAATACTTCTTCACTTAACTTTCTGACCAACTTTTATTACTCCGACTCCGTTTCCCTTTATAGGAGTACACCATTCAATTCCAGTTATTTTCGCTATCATCCATTTACTATACTTCATCGCCTCTAATTATCAAAAATTGTATAATACACGAGCTCCTAACTTTTCCCTAAACGAGGCTATCAAAAATATCTAAAATTATTTATTATCAAGCTTGAGAGTTCAAATAGGCATAAATTCATTGAATAATTTCTATGATGCAATGAACTCACGTAATATTTATATACGGAATATTTTAATAAAATCATTATTAATTCATAATTAATATATAATCAATATAATTCAAATTAGTTATTGTATCCGATTCTTATTGACTGACTTTGTATTTAGTTCTTGTACAAGGACTTTTAAACTCCTTTAAACGAAACTGTTCCGTAAGCTCTATTCGCGAGAGACCGAAATGATTTATTATATTGCAGGTACTTAGAAAGTGGGTATAGGAATGTTAGTTCGACAGCCGCGAGAGGAATTTCGCTCGACGAGAAGTTATTTTAATCGCGATTACGGCTAGATAAAGGCGGCATTATCGATTATTCGCATCGGCCAAACCGAAGGAAAACGGGTCCTAGAGTTTTACGAGCCGACCGAACCCCGGTTAACTGGAGTTATGCGTTCTACTTAATTTACTATCGTGTACAGCAGACTTGTCCAGTAACTACCTTGCCCGGAATGCGAACCCGGCATTTGTTTTGTCTCTATCCGGACAAGAAATGCTTTCCTATACATTTTTACAGTTTCCCGTCTCGTTTAACCGTTGATCAATTTAAATATCAGATAGAAATATCGACGATTGGAAGAACGTCAATGAACAGGAATACGATGTCACGATTAACTTTTCCCTAAACGAGGCTATCAAAAATATCTAAAATTATTTATTATCAAGCTTGAGAGTTCAAATAGGCATAAATTCATTGAATAATTTCTATGATGCAATGAACTCACGTAATATTTATATACGGAATATTTTAATAAAATCATTATTAATTCATAATTAATATATAATCAATATAATTCAAATTAGTTATTGTATCCGATTCTTATTGACTGACTTTGTATTTAGTTCTTGTACAAGGACTTTTAAACTCCTTTAAACGAAACTGTTCCGTAAGCTCTATTCGCGAGAGACCGAAATGATTTATTATATTGCAGGTACTTAGAAAGTGGGTATAGGAATGTTAGTTCGACAGCCGCGAGAGGAATTTCGCTCGACGAGAAGTTATTTTAATCGCGATTACGGCTAGATAAAGGCGGCATTATCGATTATTCGCATCGGCCAAACCGAAGGAAAACGGGTCCTAGAGTTTTACGAGCCGACCGAACCCCGGTTAACTGGAGTTATGCGTTCTACTTAATTTACTATCGTGTACAGCAGACTTGTCCAGTAACTACCTTGCCCGGAATGCGAACCCGGCATTTGTTTTGTCTCTATCCGGACAAGAAATGCTTTCCTATACATTTTTACAGTTTCCCGTCTCGTTTAACCGTTGATCAATTTAAATATCAGATAGAAATATCGACGATTGGAAGAACGTCAATGAACAGGAATACGATGTCACGATTGTACCGTCCCTAAATAATTATTGATACGCATACTTCTATATTTCCGAAGATACAATTTCACGTTGGACTCTGTGAAAGTTCAAACGGTCATTCTTTTCGATTACGAGCAATGATTAATCGATAACTATAGGTCGGATGGGTTAAAATAGATCCCGAGGACAGGATTTCTCTGGGTGACGCGTGAGTGGAATCGCGAATCTGGGTACCGGCCAAAATAATTATTTGTGACGAGCTTCGAGCTCCCTGTGGGCAACAAAAGGCCTTGCGAGCCGCGAGAGAAACGAGTAACTGAAATAAGCGATCAGGAAGCCTCTTCGGACCAAGCTCCGGGAACTGTTTACAAACTGTAACAAGTAGCACTCGTCTTCCTATCATTTTATTTTATTTTACGTAACACTCATGGGAAATCCATTGGTTTTATGCCGAATACCGCAAATCGGAATTTCCCAAACGTTCACTAGGATTCCACGAAATAGAGGATAATTCGGTTTGAATACGCGAACCGATGTTCGCCTCGCATCGCTGTTAGTTCTAACTGCAATAATTGATACCGACGTATATCGAAATAGAGAATCCTCTAAATACTCGCGTTTCGTTGTGACACAACGTGTAACACCTGTATGGCTGCCAAACGTTCTAAAAGTACGTCATATGTATAATGGAAGCGGTTGCAAATATTAAATCGGACGTATACGCAATGAAAACATGTGTTGGTTCATTGTACCGCAACATTTGGCATGAATGACGAAAGGTAGATGAATGAAACACGATACAATTTTTCTCGATCAACGGGTTCTCGTATATCTAATTCACCTTTCGCGATACAAACACTTTCGAATTGTCCAATTTAATCCCAATACTGTGAATCCACCACAATTTGCTATATTTTTTTTAAATCTCGTTTATTTTAATGTTTTAGTATTTTCAATTATAAATGACGTAAGACATTCCGAATTATCGATCATAAAAAAAGGATTATTCACTATTTTAGTATGAGACACACTAAATGGATGCGTAAGTGCATATTACTTCTCACGTTTCAACAGCAGAATGCCTGAGGGTCTTTTACTAACGTAAGAGAATCATTGTGAAAATGATTAAGATAAATGGAATAGACGAAGAGAGACAGAGGCAGAGAGAGAGGTAGAGGGGCTTGACGCCTACGTAACTGCATTCTTTTCTACCACGTTTCCTTCCTTAGAAAAGACTCTCAATCAGAGAGTTTGCAATCGGTTGTTGCACGATGCGGTGGAATAAATGAATAGCTAACGGTTTGTGTATGTATATGCGATCACGTGTAATCGACGACACCCACCCATTTTCGATCATGCAGGAAACGGTAGCGACCTTCGTCTATCTCCGTCTATCCCGAGAGGAGAGAATTAACGACATTCCTAAACGGACTATGTCACTAAACGAAGTTATAGCATCGTGGAATCTTTTCCCGGAATCGACAAATCACGACGCATCGAGCTTCGGATGACGCCTACCAGAAAAAGAAAAAAAAAGAACGAAACGGAGAAAGCAAATCGTCGTCCTGTTTCCGATTATTCTACGAAATTTCTCTCGACATCTGTTTATCATTGTTGAAAACAAAATAAGGAAACTTATTCACATGCGAGGCGCATGCGATAAATTATGAGAGTGAATCAATTAGAAATAATCATATGGAATAACCAAGTATTTCTAGATTTTCTTAACAGATA